AGAAAGCGAAACATCAGCTCACTTTTGTTTGCGTCTCTAAGCGGAGCAACACAGTAACGGACAGAGCCCAGCGCTTTATGACGTAACAACAGACGATACACTGTAACATTACAAACAACTTTTGATCTTCAAATGCGCGCCAATGAATGTGGATGAAGGTAATCTAAATCAGGCAACTATGTATTATTCATTTGTATGCATGCAACCTACCAAGTGTTGAACGACCATGAAATAAACTTTTAAGTTTTTAACTCGCTTTGGCTGTTTAGGGACATTTATGAAAATGCAACTAGTTTCAGGATGTTTGCTTTACAATAGCACTTTTGTTTATAGAATATGTGTTCCTTATGCTAATAAATGTATTGATGTTTGTATACCAAAAAATCTTGTCAGGCAGACAAGGATCATTAGATGACATTAAAAGATTTATTTATTTTAAATATTTACCATCTTTGCCAACATCCTTCAAACCACTAGGTTTTACCCATTTATCAGCAAGAAGTTTTTTTTTCAATCATTTCAAATACAATAACGTTTAGTATGATGATCAGATACTTTTATTTATTTTAACAGGTCCGAATAAGTGTTGTTTCATTTTTACATAAATATTTTACATAAATGTTATTCTGAATGATGATGGAACATTATTTCATTTTGACATTTTTTCACAGACGTTATTTGAAACGTTAAAGTACTTTACTTACATTTAATATGCTTTTTATGTATATATAGCCTAGTCACTTTTGTAAATTTAATTTGATGTGGATATGTCTTTTTTTTTTATATTGTCAAAAGTATAGTGCCATATTTTTTACTTAATTTATAAATTGTTCACAATTTGGCTTTGCTTAGAATGTGATTTTTTTTCCCCCATGAAAAATAAAAATAAGTAGTACTTTTTGAATGAATAGTATCTTGTGCAAATAAAGAAGGGGAAAAATCATCATACAGTTCAGTTTGTATTACTATTCAAAACATTCTAGAAATGAAGTTAGAGACGTCCATCCAATATGTTCTTGAATATAAACACTAAAAAAAGAATGAATCACTGATTCTTTTTCCATTTGAAGAGTTTTCCATTTGAAATCCAATACCTCTCTCACTGTATTATTTATAAATAACTTATTTGTTATTTGGTGATAGATGGATATCATTTGAACAGCATTGCACCCATTACAAGTGTTTTTCTTTCTTTATTTTCTTTAGATCTGACTGCAGTAAAATGTCCTGCAGTAGCAGTAAGTTGATTTTCATTATGTCATTTACTATCACATCAACAGCCAGGCTTGTGATTTGATTTCTCCTCACTGCTCTGTTTGTGTCAATTCCTCTGCCCTTTGTCCAGCGGCCCTCTCATCCGTCCCGGGTCAGGAGCTTCTGCTCACCGTGCACCTGCTGACCGACCCCGGCGCGTCTCTGCTCCTCCAGCACACTCTGGACCGCCTGCTCAAGCGGGTTTGTCCCGGCCTGCGCCTCTTCCACGTGTCCGAGCGGGCCTGTCCCGTTCATGCCCAGCGCCCCGCGGCCGGACGCCCCTCACACGCCGTCACCATATTCTTACATGAGTCCTACGGAGAGGAGCGTATTCTCCGAGTGCTGGACTTCCTGCAGTGTCCGCCGTGGCAGTATCACCATACAGAGAGCTGCGGTGCTGGAGAGCCCGGCGTTCAGGCTAGTGCCTTACTGAGGCCTTATCTCCTGCCCAGCCGGGACTTCTACAGCCTGGGCGCGGGGATGCCGGTGTGGGGCGTCCGGCCGGTGCACTACGGAGGGGAGGTGGTGCGGGTGACTTTACACAGCACCTATGATAACTTCGAGGACACCGTGCGTTTATATGAGACGGTGCTGCAGAGGAGGGTTGAGGAGCAGAAGACGGGCTTCTGCTGGTTCACGCTGCTCACAGAAGCCGGGTTCAGTCTGCAGCTGGCCATCAAGCAGCTTGCGCCCGGGGTGCGGGTGGAGCCGTGTTACTCCGCCGTGCTGCAGTTCAGGGTGGAGGAGATCGGGCAGCTCGTGCCCTTACTGCCCAACACCTGCTCGCCCATCAGCGCCAGCCGATGGCACACCGAAGACCTGGACGGCAACAAGATCCTCTTCCAAGTAGGTCACCGGAAACATGCTCTGGTTTCTATGTGCACTTTTAGTGTACAGTCATAGTAGGGTTTCTGCGGGTCTTAAAAAGTCTTAATTCACATGTTCACAAATGAAGGCCTTAAAAAGGTCTCAAATCAGAGCAGAAAGTCTTTGTAGAGTCATTGCATTAAATGTTGCATGCACTGCAAAAATGGAATCTTCCTCAGTGTTTTTCTCATTTTTCTGACCCTACTCACAGACATTTGTTCTTGTTTTATTCATAAGCTCACTTCATGTTGAGGAATTTCTTTGTGTCTTAAAAGCGAGACACTGCAGGTGAATAGGGTAAAAAAAAAAACTAATAGTTATCGCCTTACTAACCCAGCTGATTGATTACATTGATAATTGCAAACATTTTTTGTCTTACAAGTTTTCTAAAATGTTAGCTTTAAATATGCAAATTAGTCATTATTTAATGAAATATGCGCTAATTTGCATAAATATCTAGTACAAAAATTGAAACACTGGATGATGTCAGTTTCAAAGTTCTTGTTTAATTTTTTTGACATATTACAGTCAAAAGTTTTTGCAGAGGGAATTCTGGGTATCTAATTTTTGTCACTCCATAATTCATAAAATGCTTAGAACGGACAGAAAAATACACTATATTTTCACAATTTTGGGAGGATAAAATGTTGTATATAATCAAACAAATTATATATGAACAAATCCCTCTGTACAAACCTTCAGGATATAGACAGGAATAAAAATGTAAAGTTTGGTGTGTGTAAAGTGCTACTGAAATGGAGATTTATGGCTCAGTGTAGGAGAAAAAACTCATTTTGAGAAAACGGCCTTTAAAAATATGTATTGTAATTGAAATGTATTGACACAAATAGATAAAGTGCTATAAAAGAAACACTTAACAGTGTCTTTTGGATGTTTTCTTTGCACTAGTCTGAAAAAACACTTTATGAAAAACCAAAAAGCCTAAAATCTCAAACTTGACAGGTGCATGAAAAAACAGTTTTTGCCTGCAGTGTCTCCCCTTAAAGTGTCGATTTCACCCTTCCACAAATTAAGGCCTTATAAGATCAGGAAGTCACGGCATCAAATGTTGCATGCATTACAAAAAAAAAAAATTGTAATGCATGCAACATTGTTATTTTTGTCTTGTTTTCCAGTACAGATATCGAAAAATCCTTAAATCTAGATACAATTAGTTGAGATGCAAAATAAAGATAATGACGTCTTGTTTTCAGCAAAAATGAACAAAATTCAGTTTATGCTTAAAACAAAAAGAAATATCTGGAGTCAGAGAAATAAACTTGTTTTCTCTTTGAAAATGTCATTTTTCTGTACCTTTTGGCAGATACATGTTAAAATCATAAGCTCACTTCATTTTGATGCATTTATTTGTCTCCCCTTCCGTTTATTTTTCTTAAACTATCTTTACTTGGTCTTAAAAAGGTCTTATTAAAAAGACCTTTCAAGTCACCCTTCCACAAACTAATGCCTTAAAAAGCTCTTAAACTGGAGCAGGACGTCTGAAGTCGTAACATTAAAAGTTGCACGAATTGCAAAAAAGGATATCTTACTCAGTATTTTTGTCTTGTTTTCTAATATAAATATTTAAACATCCTTTTATCAACATGCATTTACTTGAGATGCAAAATGAAGAGATGAATCTGAGAAATTGATCGAAAGTTTGAGTTTATGATTTTATTATGATGAATTTTCTTTAATTGGTCTTTAAAAGGTCTTTAATAGTCTTACTTTACCGTCACAAAAGCAGCAGAAACCCTGAATACGCTGGAAAAATATCCTCAGAATATGACTGTGTTATTACATATTTGAACCATATGGTTTTTCTATGAAATATAAATAGGCTGCGTTTCATATGTTTTAAGCCATTTTCCATGAATTTAGTATAAATTGGTCTCCCATTGTCCAAAGCAAATGGTTTATATAATATTATATAATATTGTTTAAAGGTGACCTATTATGCTCCTTTTTACAAGATGTAAAATATGTCTCTGATGTCCCCAGTGTGTGTGTGTGAAGTTTTAGCTCAAAATACCTTACAGATCATTTTTTATAGCTTGTTAAAATTGCCACTTTTAGGGTATGAGCCAAAACGCACCGTTTTCGTCTTTCCCTTTAAATGCAAATGAGCTGGTGCTCCCGGAGAAGAGGGCGGAGCTTCAAGAGCTCAAGCTCCAGCAATACTTGTGCTAGCCTTTGCAAATAAACACTCTGTACAACTCGCTGTGAACTCGTTTAGGGCGGTTCTATGTTAAAACGGCAGTGTCTGTCAACATTCGTGGGCGGGGCCTGTGGCTAATGTGACGTCACATTAACACCAAGTCGGAAAACAGGTAGTTGCAGTGTTGCCAACTTAGCAATTTTGTTGCTAGATTTAGCAACTTTTCAGACTACCCTAGCAACTTTTTCTTCCAAAAGCACCTAACAACAAATTTAGCTATTTTTTATTTTTTTTATTTGGCAACATTTAGCAACTTTTGGGTGGGTGGATTTTTATCATTATAGGGTGGTTGTGTACACACACTGCCAACACACATTTATGTCCAAACACCATGCAAAAGTGAATTTTGCATAATAGGTGCCCTTTAAAGCAAATTCTGTTTTCCTCGTGGTTGAACTTTTACATATTAGATAAGTTGAGTCACCTTTATTTCTACGGCGCTTTACAGCTTCACAGAAAGAAAAAAAAACAGGAAAATAACAGTTGCAAAAATTCATCAGTTATAATGTTACAGTTACATCACTGTAATGATGAGATGGAGGCTTTATGATCTAATGATCTTATTACCACAGCCTTGATGTCTCTGTGTTGGACCTCCAGATGGGAATGAACATGTTTTTGGAGGAGCTGACAGCATCTTTTCCACCACATGACTATACACTGCTGCAATCTGAGAACGATCCACAGAATGTTTCCCCAGATCCTGCATCTAATAGCAGTTCAACTGCATTCAGCAGACATACGTCTCTTTAATATTCATCAAGAGTTCATTTGAGCAGATTGTTATTTGTTAACTACAACATAAGAGCTAGTGTGAATGTGAAGATGTTAATGTGAATATCGTCACTGGCTATAGGCATTAGCATGAGCTGGAGGCCGTTATGTGTATTTGTCTCTTTTATACAATATATTTTTAAAGTAAAGAGAAACAAAGTTATGGAAGCCCATTTCCAGTACATATTAAAATTATGACCTTTTTTTGCAATTGCGAGTTTACATCTTACAATTTTGAATTTCTTTCCCAGAATTGCAATTTTAAATGTTATTTTATTATATTTATTTAATGCATGCATGCAAGCTTCCAAATAAATCAAAGAAAACCTGAAACTGAAAAAAAAAATAATAATAATACTTTTTCTGAAAGTGACTGATCATCACTGCATACTATGGGAGACTGGTGGTCTTGATGGGGACTTTTTGCTTTAACACTTGTGTTTTTGTGCTTTCTATCACACATTTTGATATAATTTTCTTAAATGCATCTGCTACAAATTCAGGTTGAATAATGCAGTCATAACATGGTAACATTCACAACGTATTAATGACAAGTTCCTTATCAGATACAATATAGTTTTAGTTGAAAATGTTTTATAAAATAATGATTCATCGGGTCCAAATGGACCCAGAATGCTCAAATACTATACAGATTTGGAATGCATTATGAACAGGGATTGAAAGTAACTTTTTCACTCACCAGCCAATTTGGCTACTAAATTTTTAAGTTACCGGCCATTCATAACTTCTACTAGCCCAAAAAAATAAAAATAAAAAACATAAATAAACCAACAGTTTGAGGCTGTCTACACTGGGCGTGGGCGTGACAAAGCGACCATTGCAAATCATTTTGTGTCAGTACTAGAGGTGTGCGATATTGACAAAAAATAATATCTCAATATTTTCTGGGATTTTATCGATAAAGATAATTAGACAATATTTTGCTGAGTGT